AAGTGGTAATCCCCCCCCAAAGCGAAACGCATGGTCCGTAAGGAAGGTTATCCTTCACATATCCCAGGATTGAAACCTAAGAGTAAGAAACGTCATGCTTTCATTGTCGCGGATACGGAAACTGTTATGATCGATAATGCGCATGTCCCTTATGCAGCCGGGTTTCTAGTTGTGCAGCCGGGTGAAGATGTTGGAGCCAAGCCTGCACATGCCTTTGAAACCTTTTATAGTGAGGACCATCTGCTTATTATGTCTGAATTTAAAGACCGCAGTCGTCAAATGCTGTTCAGCTTTCTTGGTCGCTTAGCCGTGGTTGCTAGAAGTAGAAAGATTCAAAGGGTATATTTTCATAATTTAGGATTCGATGGGATTCTCCTTATGCAGTATTACGTGTCTCTTGGGAATAAGTACACGATCGAGCCCCTTATGCGCAACTCGCGACTATATGAGCTAGCTGTATATCAGGAGGGTAAACTTCTCTTCCGGCTCAGAGATTCATACTTGCTTCTTCCAAGTAGTCTTGCTACATTAGCGGAGACTTTATGTCCACAATTAGGACCTAAAGGCTCAATCCCAATAGCCCCTGCAGACTTGCAAGTGTCTCATCTGCTTCCTATGGGCCCTCAATTGCTGAAGTATATGACGCAGGATATTCGACTATTAGGCGGTATAATGGCAAGTGCTCAAGAAATTTATTGGACTCAATATAAGGTTGATATATTGGGGTGCTTAACTTTATCAGCCCTAGCTATGAACATTTTTCGCATTTCATACTATGATCCGGAGAGCTGGCCTATACATATCCCAAGTCGGAACGAGGATGCTTTCATCAGACGCGGCTACTATGGTGGCCATGCTGATACATATATTCCCTATGGTGAGGACTTGTACTACTATGATGTCAATTCTTTATACCCTTTCATTATGAAAACCTATGATATGCCAGGTGGTAAGCCTGTCTGGCATGGTAATTTAGAAGGCCGTGAGTTGTCAACCTTGTACGGATTTATAGAAGCTTATGTAGTGTGCCCCCCTACCATTAAGCGCCCTTTCTTGCCATATCGCGATGAGAATGAGACTTTGCTCTTTCCAACAGGAAAATTCGTAGGTGTCTACTATAGCGAAGAGCTAATTTATGCACGTGAGTTGGGTTACACAATTGTACCACTGCGCGGCTATTTGTTTAATAAGAAGCCCAGTCCCTTTGAAGGCTTTGTCTCATCGATCTTCGGGAAACGCAAAGAAGCAAAGAAAAAGGGCGATGAAGCAATGTCTTTTGGCTACAAAATACTGATGAACTCACTATATGGCCGAGATTCGGCATAAATCCGAAGTGTACAACAACCGTGGTATGCAATCGTAACCAGTATGAGTATTGGATCAAGAAGGATAATTTCATCTTTGGGGATCGCCTGGGGGACCATTACTATATAGTCAATTATGTCAGCAATGCCGCCAACGCCCCTGACTCGGAGTGGATTCCACCCAAGATATCGGCGGTTCAATTGTCTGCTGCTATTAGTGCTTGCTCCCGTATCCACATGTACAAGTACATTTCGCGCGAGGACTGCTATTATACTGATACTGACTCAGCAATTTTAGGCAATCCTCTGCCCGACGAAGAAGTATCAAATCTTGAATTGGGCAAGCTGAAGATAGAGCACAAAGTAAAGAAAGGGCACTTCTTAGCGCCTAAGAGCTATTCCCTAGAAACGGAAGAGTCAGGCGACGTAATCAGGCACAAGGGTCCGGCTAAAAAAATGGTCAATCGCGGCTGGTTTGAGGGGCAATTCGCGGATCTGGCCCGAACGCAGAATATAACAGTCGAATCCCACTTCCGGGTAGATTGGCACACGCTTAATATCGCAATAAAGAAATACCAAGTCAGTCTAGGTAGCAAAATAGGCACCAAAAGGGAACCGGTATTTGATGAAAACGGTGCTTGGATTGACACAAAACCAAAACATGTAATAGATTTAGGTGGGCAAGAGAGCGAGGTGCTAAAACTCGAATTGAAGATGCTCAAATCTGAGTTTCAAAAGAAAGAGATCGAATATCAGCATCAGATTGCTAATCTTAGTGAGAATCTAAGTCAAGAAAAGGATCAGAATTCTAAGATTATTGCTAGTCTTGAGGAGGAACTTCAGCAACTAAGAGAAGAGATGAAAGCCAAGGCTCTTCTTACTGAAGAAAAAATGGGTAGCCCTAAATCCACAGAGCCGGTCGAGCCTCCTACTTTTTACGACCAACCGCATAAGAAAGCCAAGAAAGGCCAGGGTCAAACGCCTTTGGCTAAGAAACCGCCATGAAGAAGAAGGAACCTGCGTCCAGTCGCCTCTCTCGCCCTGTGTGGTCGAAGGGATCTGACTTTCTCAATTGCGCCTATGCCTTTTCTCTCTGTCATCCTAGTCTCCCTGAGGTGGCGATCATTTGCCACACGACTCTTTTGATGACCGTGTGCAGTAAAGTAATGTGGACATGGAAGTATCCCGAGCCTGTTTAGAATGCATATAAACAGCAATACACAAAGGATGTCAAATCTTCCATCATGCCACATTTTCAGTGGGAATAAACCCCAGAAATCCCAACAGCCGGAATCACTCTGCTCTGAGACTAATGACTTCATAGTTAATAGCTCAGCGCCTATAGAGTTAGGGATGAGTTTTCTCATCCTGGGTAAGGCAAGGGGTTCTATTTCAGGAGATCTCCTAATTCATCACTTATGCTTAGCTTAGCCCCAACAACCATATTCAACATATGGATTTGATGGTGGCAAGCTGTGATCCTTCCTACTCGCCGTGCCTTTTGAGTGTAATAACAAATATATTTGAAATGATGACCACCTTGTACATGCAACCGCCTTGCAGAGCGATAAATCTGCTAATGGATGCCAAACGTAAAAGACTTTTCTTCGTTATATTTGTGCGATATTATTCTTCGAATGGATATGTTTCAAGTGGTGATGATATTCATGGCATTGATGATGTTGGACAACCTGTTAATGTTGATTCTGCTGGAAATGATGAAAGAAAGGAAAAGACTCTTTCTTTGTTTTGGAAACGTTTTGACATGAAGCTTGAAGAAACTCTGGATAGTAATGCAACATATGAGAATTTTAAAAATAACAAAAATGTTGTTTTAAAATTGTTGAATTCGAATAAATTTGATTATAGAAACATAAGCCCACAGGAGTTATATGACCTACAAATGGAAATAGAGGATATGACACTTCATTTTAACGAACCTCAAATATTAAGTAGTTATCCACAATTGTTCAAACTGTTGATAGGAAAAGATCTTCTTCCTGCAAAGGATTATCTAAAGCAAGAAAAGTGTGGCCTGTCGGACTTGGATTTAGAGTTTCTTAATTTATTTGATCAATATACGCTGGAGGCAGTCCTTATTTTTTCTCTTGGGGTTTTTTTCCACCCGCTAAAAGAATTCTGCGCCGTGAAAGTCTCTTATATGATCGAGAAGCTTGATTACTTTGTACGCTTCGAAACAGTACAAAGGGCAAAGAAGAAAGGTAAGAATATGGATATGGTGCCGAACTATTATAAAAAGAAAATAGATCCAAAAGGGAAACTGAATCGCTCTCATTATGCTATAGGGGTCTCTTTGGTTGAGTTCTTGGTGGAAAGGAAAGTAATCAGTTTAAAAAAGGACCGAAAGCTCAAAAAAACTGTTCAATTCAGTGAGAAATCCCATATAGATTTTCCTTCATAAAGGGCATTGATTGCTGTGGAATGGAAGTGCCCAGCGTTGTCAAGCGAAGTGTGTGTGTGTGGACTCCCTCTTTTTGTGCTACTTCTCCCATCTACCTTAGCCAATCACACCGATTCAGTTGAAACGCTTACTGGTACCGATTCATCCACTTTGATGTCTGAAATCGCGATCGACTTCCTATATCAAAAGGTCTCATTTAAACATATTGGACAAAGCCCTCTTCACTCGCTGTCCCGCCACGCCGATGGGGAATGGAGAAACAGGCCTACCCTCCCACTGCCCGTATAAGTAGAAATCCGCTCGCTACTAGTTCTCGTGGAAGACAAGCTTGAAGAAGCGAAATACGGGGTCCCAGGCCCGATACGAGAGAAAGTATGACTGATAGACGAAAAACGACTCATAGCTATTCTGTCTGTCATGGCCAATGCTAGCAACACCGCCTATGACCAACCTGTATTTGAATGTAGAGGGCGAAGGCGGACGAATAATAGACACGACATGGGCAAAAGGGATCCAACATCCTTTGCTCCAGACTGTCCATGGAAGGAATTCCATTTACCCAGCTGCCTTAATATTAATAGTGGATCTACCGGATCTTGGAATTTTCCCGTTTTCAAGGTGAGCTGAGGAACTCAGTCACTCTTTAGCTCCGTCTTTCTTTATTTAGGCTTTCCGAGCCTACAGCTGATCTGGACATGCGGGCAACTACCAGACTGAGTCGCCCTTCATTCACGTAGGAAAGAAGAATGCGTGAGAGATAGGGGGTGTGAAAGACCGGAGGATACGTGCGTCTGCTCTTGTTTTTCGGATGCGGAAGTCTCGGTGTTAGTATCATACCTGCCCATGGAAGAGATTCTGGGAAAAGATCATAGTGGGCATCGCCCTCGAGCTAAGAGCTAAATAAGTGGTAGGTAATTCATAATCATGAAAGTCAATGGACCTGGTGAACCTAGATGAGACGGACACGCTACGCGCTACCTTCATGTCTCGCCCAAAAGCGTAGGGGTGAGAGCATCCGGGCGGGGTAGTGACTGAATGGAATGCGCCAATCCGCCTTTTGCAGAAAGTCGTTGGCTTGGCCGAACCCGATGAAATGAGACATCCAAGGAAGAGCCCCTACCTTAGGATCAGATAGAGCATCCTGAACTTCCTCTTCAATGGCACCCTGTGCCTTGCCAACTCTCAAACTCATAAGCTTGTAAATTCTTGGTGTAATACTCACTCGTAAATGATAGGTGTAATTCGGAATTCTCTCGTTGAATGGGCTAATTCGACAAAGAAAAAAACTGCTATAGTATCTTCAATCTTACCCCCCTCTCCGTCTTCTATTCATCCTGCCCCCTTAAAAACTGGTGCTATTGCGGCTACACCTCCCGATTTGTCAGGTATACTACGAAGGCTCATCAAACAGCGCTTGATAGCTTTTCTCAGGATTTGGCCCAACAAGAATTTTATTCATATACGGAGAGCCGGCCCCCCGTTTGATAAGATCCTCCCTAACGCTATCCAAAAATTGGAGTTCTATTCTGTCTCTTTCCGCCGCCGTGCTCCGCCCTTGTGGGTGGGTGTCCAGCTCCAGCTTGTCTAGCTCGCCCCGTTTCTCGTCAAAGAAGTCGATAAAGGCTTCTTTAGAATTGTAGGAGGCCTTTTCGGCCAAGGTAGGATGTTCCGAAAGAAGTCGTTGATAAAGGGAATAACACCCGTGTTTCAGCTCCCGGATCTGGAGATCTGTATTCTCGAAGTCAAGTAAGCGGTTATACTCACGCTGAGAGGGGACTTGACCCAAGGCTGTTTTCATTTCGCGCCAATATTCTCCTTTCTCTTTATCCAGGAGAAACGGGCTATGGTCCTTCTCGAGGGCACATATTCTATTTCTTATAGAAGATTCCAAGCTCGTATTAGTTTTTATGTAACTATTATATGGTTGGTGAGAAGGCCCCGCCTCTTCGCGCGCCACCCCCCCAGCCCCAGGGGCGGAATTCACCGACGTGCCCTCCATTTCTGTTTCGGAAAAGGGCTCCAATAAGACCTGCATATCAAAATCCGTCCACGAGGACGGGCTTGATGGGCCGGAATGGGCTGGAAGAGGAAGTGCTAGACCGCCACCTCCCCCCACACTCAAAATCAAAAAAGGATAAAAAAAATGAAGACCTAAGTGGGAAAGTAAGTAGGCGCGAAGAAAATAGCAAAAGAAAGAGACGAAAACTAGAATGGATATATAAATCATAAAGACAAGTCGAAATCCAAACTTTTTTTTCAAACTAAAACAATAAAGACGAAGCAGAAAGATCAAGCCTAAGATAAGTATAGAAAAAAACACGAGATTTTTCCCTGTGGTCATTATAGCGGTTCCTTCTGCTCCTAGAAAACGCCCGAAAAAACCCGCTACGGAACTACCGAGCAGGGGCAAAAATATGATAAGTAGATAGATAAGTTTTCCCAGGCTATCGACCGCTTTTAACCCCGTTTGCATAGGCTCGTGCACAGATTGACGTTCAATAATCCCAGGGGCTTTCACTTCGACACGTCTTCGCTCGTGATCGCCTAGAGCCCCTCTTCCATCAATAGGTACTCCCAACGCGTCGACCACACGCCCTAGCATTGTTTTTCCCGCAGGAACATCCACAATAGATCCAGTGCGCTTGACAAGATCTCCTTCTTTAATAGCAGTATCACTACCAAAGACAACAATCCCTACATTCTCATTTTCAAGATTGAAGGCTATTCCTTTCACACCGCTGGCAAATTCAACCATTTCCCCAGCTTGAATCTCGTTCAATCCATAAACACGTGCAATACCATCTCCAACTGAGACCACTCGACCGATCTCAGTCACTTGAAAATGCGTGTCAAAGTTGGTAATTCGACTTTCTAATAGAGTAGTGAGTTCGGCAGCTCTAGGAGAGAATTCCATGAAAGATTGTATTTGATAAAGATTTGATTTGCAAGGGGGAATACCGCTTTAAGAAAGAGAAAGAAAGTGAAGAAAGAAAAAGAAAGTTCGACTTGCATGTGTTAAGCATCTAGCTAGCGTTCCTTCTGAGCCAGGAC